TTTTCATTACCATATTGCCTGATACTCATAGCGCCACCTAGTGGTGACAGGAAGTAGGTCTCAACACTTATTTTTCGATTTATCTGAAAGTTACATGCTGTGGTGATATTTGATATTTGATGGTGTATACAAAAACATGATGTATAATTAGTGCGCTCTCCAACTCCCTCTAGTGGAAAGAGGAAGTGATACAAAATGTAAAATATGTCATTCCAGCACTGTATCAAGGATATGCAGAGTCACTCCTGCATGCCGTGTCTAACTTCGACAGAAATGAACTGACGCGTCAGAAGGCATCCTGCCAGCCCCCCCGAGTTGCGTGAAGGTGCGAGGGCCCGTTCATCGCTGCTTGCAGCTTTAATTAGGGCCCGAGCGACGACGAAGTCGTCCGAGGACCCTATTGAAATCGTGCTGTTTATTATTATTATTATTCTTGCGACATTTCGTGTCCCAATTTCGGCCCTTTCCCAAATTTAAAAATGCTTCTAACTCTCCACATTTGTCCGGCCACATCCGAAATTCGATATTTTTGGGTGGTTGCACATGGTCGGCGTGAAATGCCGAAATAGCGCCCCCTACAAATTTTCAAAATACCCTCCTCATTGGGGTTAGTTTGTCGTAGGCAAACGAAATTTGGTACACACATGTATCATACCGAGACACACAAAAAAGTCTCTTAACGTCATGGTGAAATCCTAACAGGGAGTCGGCCATTTTGTTTTGAATTTTTTCGTTACAGCGATTTCCACAACTTACATTTGAACGAACTCCTCCTAGGGATTTCGTCCTATCGACTTCAAAGTTGGTACAGATCATCCTGAGAACATGCTGATCAAAAGTTATTAAAAGCTTTTCTCTATGTCAAGGGACATGGCCGCTAGGACGTGACAAATTTGGCGACTTTTCGTTTTCTTGCCATCAAATTTCGAACGGCTCTCCTGCCCACATACTTGATCTCAGCAGCTTCAAACTTGCTGGACATGATGAGGGCTCCGCCCCAAACGCCCCGATATGTTAATATCCCACCTTATTCATAGCGCCCCCCGGTGGTAACAGGAAGTGACCAGTTTTTACTTTAACATGTACTGATGACACAAACTTGACCGCATCAACTTCATTCCACTTCTAATGCCCGCAGAAGAAGTTGGTGAAGCTACCTTATGAACGCTGTGAAGCTACGGGGCATAACACAGTAAGTAGGAAATGTAAAAAACAAAAAAAAAGTCCTCTCACAAGCTGAGATGGTGCAGTCTAATGGTGTCCGTGTGGCAGCCTGACAACTATCGATCCCTCGCCAGTAAATACGTTTGACTTTTTGATGGCTTCAGCGATCTCATATCCTTATGAAAATTGATACACAGGTCAAGAATGGCTAGCTCTTTCATCTGATAGGGGCGCCGCCCATGGGGGGGACAAAATGCCTCTATAGTGCCCCCTTGAAATTTTCAAAAAACCCTCCCCATAGGGGTTTTTTTGGAGTAGGAAGATGAAAATTGGTACATATGTGTATGTTGCCCAGATGCACAAAAAAGTCTCTGCCATCAATGGTCTACTCCAAACAGGAAGTTGGCCATTTTGATTCAAAATTTTCATTTTGGTGGCGATTTTGTGATTTCGACACCTTGTATTTTGACGAACTCCTCCTACAGACTTTGTCCAATCAACTTCAGATTTGGTACAGATCACCCAGAGACCATGCTGATCAAAAGTCATTAAAAGCTTTTCTCTATGTCAAGGGGCGTAGCCGCTATGACGCCACCCTCGCCATCAAATATGTTTGCTTTTTGATGGCTTCATTGGCCTCATATCCTCATGAAAATTGATACACAGGTCAAGAATGGTGAGCTCTTGCATCTGATAGGGGCGTCGCCCATGGGGGGCACAAAATGCCTCTATAGCGCCCCCTTGAAATTTGAAAAAAAAAACCAACTCCCCATAAGGGTTTTTTTGGAGTTGGAAAATTGGTCAACATGTGTATGTTGCCCAGACGCATATAAAAGTTTCTGGCACCAATGGTCTACTGCAAACAGGAAGTCGGCCATTTTGATTTTGACTTGTCATTTTGGCATGATTTCCACATTGTGTATTTTCACGAACTAGTCCTAGGGATTTCATCCAGTCAACTTCAAATTTTTTACAGATCATCCAGACACCATGCTGATCAAAAGTTTTGCTCTGCATGTCTGTAGGTCAAAGAGCGTGACTGCTATGGTGCTGTCATTTTTGATCCATCGCCATGCATATTCAAGCAGCTCTCTCTCCCACATAATTCATCCAAACTGCTACAAAATGTCTGTACATGATAAGAGCCCCACCCTCAACGCCTCCATATGCTCGTAGGCAATCTTGCTCATGGTGCCCCCTTGTGGAAACAGGAAATGCCCTATTATACATTGACATTGTCCGATTTGCTCGAAACTTCACATATGTGATGAGGGTCTGCCCCTGGACACACCTGCACACATTTAGTTACATTCCTAATATCCCTGGTGGATGAACAAAACATTGCGTTTTTTCTCTCCTGACAGGTTTTTTTCTCCCTTCTCGCTTCGCGCCACATCCCTTGTGTGCCTCAGGCCCCCCGCGATTGCATGGGGGAGCGAGGGCCCAATCACAGCTGCTTGCAGCTTTAATTATTATTATAATTCTTTTGAACATTTAATCACCAATTTGGCCCCTTTCCCAAATTCAAAAACTCACCAAATTTGGCACACGCATTTGGTCTGGCGAAAAATTTGATATTTTGGCAGTGTGGTATGTGGACAGGGCAACATAGCACCCCCTAGAAAATTTCCTGCCTCGAGACCCACCTGTTAGTTTCACCTACACTCATGAAAATTGGTGGGCTCATAGAACATGCCAAGATGCACAAAAAAATCCTCTTAGACCCATACCGTAAACCCAACAGGAAGTCGGCCATTTTCATTTGAATTTTTTAACGAACTCCTCCTAGGGATTTCATCTGATCGATTTCAAATTTCGTAAAGATCATCTAGAGGCCATGCTGATCAAAAGTTGTTAAAAGAATATCAGTAGGTCAAAGGGCGTGGCTGCTAGGGCGTGACAAATTTTGGCGACTTTTCGTTTTCTCGCCATCGAATTTCAAATGGCTCTCATGCCCACATACTTGATCCCAGCAGCTTCAAACTTGCTGGACATGATGATGCCCTGAACGCCCCGATATGTTAATATCACACACCTTGTATTTTAACGAACTCCTCCTACAGATTTTGTCCAATCAACTTCAGATTTGGTACAGATCATCCTGAGACCATGTTGATCAAAAGTTATTAAATACTTTTCTCTATGTCAAGGGACTTGGCTGCTATACTGCCTCCATATTTGATGCATCGCCATGCATATTTGAGCAACTCTCTCTCCCACATACTTCATCCTAACTGCTTCAAAAATTCTGTACATGACAAGAGCCACGCCCTGCATGCCTCTTATTCTTAAACTCACTCTAACTCATAGCGCCCCCTTGTTGAAACAGGAAATGCCATATTTTTATATTGATAAACACCAACCCCATACTCAACTACATTTTGTGGCCATGTATTTATCAAGTTGATGAATGTCCACAGTGACACACGTGTGCTGTCATGTAACAGGCTGCCCATGGCGACTTTTGATCCTTCGTCATGGAATATCAAGTCCTTAAACTCCATCATGCATTGCTCTTATTGGCCACAATTTGATATGTGTGATCATGGTCTGCCTCTGAACATATCTGCATGGCAATATATTGGTTTTAGTCATATAACCGCTTCAGTTATGTGTGCTGCTGGCCCCCCGTGGTGGCGCGGGAGAGCGAGGGCCCAATCACAGCTGCTTGCAGCATTAATTATTCTTTCTTTCTTTCTTTCTTTCTTTCTTTCTTTCTTTCTTTTTCCCGCCGCCTCTTTGAGGTTGAATTTGACCCCTAAACATGCTCACATCTTCACCAAAATTGGCATGCATGTCAGGACTGGTGAAAAATTTGATAAAATTAAACCCCAAAGTGCCAAAATGGGCTCTCTAGCACCACCTAGGCACACTAAAATGACCGCTGTGGCCTGTAGGAATGTCGCAGAAAGATCAAACCAAAAAAAAAAAACTTGCTTGTTTTCTCATTGAGACCTACAAATCACGCACTGACACCCTTGACCCCACAGGAAGTGAGGTAGTGCCTCTGAAAGTAACATGAGCAAATGTGGAGACATTGTCAGCTGTGAGCTAGTGTGGAGAGGGGTCTAAAATTGTCTAAAACTTTTGTCTTTAATTGTCTACGTGAGCTGGAGGCCCAAAACGGCAGGAGTCCGAGGTCCCACCAAACACTGCTTGCAGCTTTAATTTTTTTTTTGTTTCTTTAGTCTTTTTGTTCATGGATGTGTCAATGCAATAGCCACCAAAGTGCAGGCAAAGGTCCCTTTAAGTTTCCATCTGGTTGGTCAAAGTGCCCCCATGGTGTGGGATCTTAGGGCAAATATAAAGCTGAAGGCTCTGTGCAAAGGAAGTTTCCATTTTCTTCTATTTTCCAGTTTCAGAAATGTGAAGGCTTAGATCATGCAAATGCAAATGCAAATGATGGAAACAATTATTATTATTGCGTTTTTTATTATTATTAAATAAACAATTTTTTTCTTGTCTTCCTGCACCATGTTGTTGGGTATGCTTGTTTTTGTTAGGTTGCTGCCTATAAGAGGATTTTCCCACCTTCCTCTGGGTAATGGGACCCCTGTGTATCTTTGCCCTGGGTCTACGTAAGACTTTCCTCATGATTATTAATTATTCTCTTTAAGTTTTTTTAAAAAGTGATTTTTTTATTATGTATTTAAATATGAATTTACTTGTTTACAAATAGAGGTTTAAATTGTGACAAAATTGCCCAATGTGCTTGGTCCGGCACTGTTTGTGATGGGTAGCTTCAAGCTCAGAGCATCTCTGTGTGTACTGTCTTCGGAGAAGCTGTAAATGAGTTGTTAATACTCTGTCAGGCAATGACAGCAATGTATTGGTACCTTGGACTGGGACAATGGTCATCCCCAGGCCATGCTCCAGGTGTCTGCTGATGTGACACAGTCTGGGTCGGGACCAGCAGTCCCCTTTGGAGGCTTTGGCTAGAGTCTGCAGGTCCATACCAGTAGACACTGCCTGGAGAAGAGAAACATGACAGGATTGAACTCATGGAAGAATGAATCACAGTAACATACAGATAAATTGTTCTCTCATATTTAAGTATTGTGTTTATCTTAAACAATTCAATTAAGTGTACATGACATTAAAGTCTGGAACAAGTGCAACTTTTGTGCAGCCATGATCCACTCTGTTTCCAGTTTCTCTGACACAACAGAACTTGTCAAAGTTTAGCATAAGAGGAGATATACTGTCTTTGATGAGCTCAACAATCTCATTATATTCTATTAAAATGAAGCTGTACATAATTGTTTTTCAAACTTTTGCCAAATAGAGGTGCAACTAAAAAAGTGCACTTAGTAGAGTGCAAATCTCCAGTAGGCAGCCACATGGAAGCTTGTGCTGACTGCTGCCACTCAAGACAGTTCCTTTAATTTCAGCAGACAAAGAGTGTAGCATTTCAGTAGTGCTCTAAGCTAAGAAAATCACACGCCTCTGCTGTTTTTTTACAGAGGCAGAGAGCTTTCCTGCTACCAGATACTGTATGTGAAGTATAGATACATTGCAATTATGAGGATGAAAAAGGAGGCTGGAACAACTGGGGGAACCATAGAGAAAGCAAATGAACTAAACACCTTCTTCAACAGGTTTGACTCTATGCCTGCCATCTCCTCCCTAACTCCAGCCTCACCTGCACCATCTGCACCAGACCATCAACTGCTGGATGATTATCGCCCCCCCAAACCCTCCCCCCTATCTCACCTCTCCTCCCATCCACCAGTGGGACCCTCTGTCTCTCTGTCCCCTTCTAGCCCTTCTTCTCCCTGTCCCCCTCTACCATCTGACCCCTCCCCATCCTCACGCCAGGGTTTCTGCCCCCCCTCCTCTTCTCCCATATCAGCCCCCCAACCCCCTCACATCACTGCACATCAGGTGAGAGGAGTGCTGAAGAGACTGAACGTCAGGAAAGCAGCTGGCCCAGACAGGGTGTGCCCCAGGTTGCTAAAAGTCTGCACTGATGAGCTAGGGGACCCTCTCCAGCAGGTTTTCAATTTGAGCCTGCGTCTGGGTAGAGTCCCATCGATCTGGAAAACATCTTGCATCATCCCTGTTCCCAAAAAAAGGCACCCCAGTGACCCCCAACGACTTTAGGCCAGTTGCCCTCACCTCACAGGTAATGAAGTCCTTGGAGAGGCTAGTACTACACTGTCTTAAGCCGCAAGTACAAAATGCACAGGACCCACTTCAATTTGCATACAGGGAAAAGATAGGGGTGGAGGATGCTGTCCTGTATCTTCTCCACTGGACTCTCTCCTATCTGGATGGAGGTGGCTGCGCTGTGAGGACTCTTTTCTTCGATTTCTCGAGCGCATTTTATACCATTCAGCCATCCCTGTTGCAGGAAAAACTGACCAACATGGAAGTGGAGCCACATCTTGTGACCTGGCTGAGATCCAAGATGGCGCCAGTATGTTTGGCAGGCCGTCGGTCACCTCTACTCAGTTTATTGTTTGTTATTGCTCTGTTCCTATGTGTCTGCTGCTGGGATGTCTCGGCTCTATTTGCTTATGATCGCCAATCTCTTCTCAACATTCTTGTCTCTTACTCGTTGCTATTGCTGTTAAAGCATGAATTGGGAGACCTGACTGCAAGCCTCCCTCCTTTGCTGGCAGATATTCCATCTTACCTGCGCCGCTCACCTTGCGCCCCTCCCTGCAAAAAACGTCTGAGAAGACGGGGTAAGTGCGGTGGTGTATTGGTGAAAGTCAAGGCCTATCTGTCGCTGTCCTGTGTGGCTGATCCTCGCCTCCTTCGTAGTGGATTTTGCTACTCTTCTGCCGTCAGACGTTCAATACAGCTCAGAGGACCGTGGTTACGGATTGTCATTCCCAGCCCTCTCGCTGCTGCTGTTCCTGGCCTGATGATGCCGTCTGGCACGCCGATGGATGCTGCTCCTGCTACTTCGCCATTGAGCTCTGCTTCTGCAGGCCGGACGACAACACCGGTTCCGCTCGCTGTCTCCCATGGATCGTTGGCGGCCCCTGCCCAGTGTGGCCTGATGTCGGTGTCTCTTCCTGGGCAGCTGCGTGTGCCCAGAGGCGGCGTTGTCCACACAAACCTTCGCCCGCTAAGACGTGCCTCGACCAGCATGACTCCTAACGTTACCTTGAGGATGGCCTTGATCAATGCTAGATCCCTAGCTAACAAGACCTTCTTGCTGAATGACTTTTTCACCTCCCGTAAGTTGGATTTTATGTTCGTGACGGAAACCTGGCTGCATACTGGTGAGTCCACACCGTTTTCAGAACTTCTCCCTCCTGACTGTACATTTCTCAGCTCCCCTCGGACCACCGGCAAGGGTGGAGGGCTAGCCTGTGTTTTCAAATCCAGCTTTCACTGTCAGCAGATACCATCTGTCACTTACTCCAGCTTTGAGCTGCAGCTTTTTAAACTGAATTCCTCTCCTCCCTTGCTGTGTGCGGTGGTATATCGTCCACCCAAATACAATAAGAATTTTATTCAGGATTTTGAAAACTTTCTGTCTGGAATTATGGTGGATTTTGATCACTTCTTAATTTCCGGTGACCTGAACGTTCATGTGTGCTGCGAAACCAGTTCTCTGGTCAAAGACTTCTTGTCACTGATCGACTCCTTTAATCTCACACAGTGGGTCTCTGGCCCGACGCATGATAAGGGGCATACACTTGACCTAGTGCTGTCTCATGGTTTGTCTATCTGTGTCAGTGAAATTTGTAATAGTGCTTGTATTTCTGATCACTTTCCTGTTATATTTTCTGCTACTGTCCCCTGCTCTGTTGTCGCTGCTTGTCCACCTGCACGCTGTTTTCGTGCTACAAATTCCAGCACTACGTTGCAATTTTCTACAGCTTTTAATGGTTATATGCATTCTACTGTGGAGGGGTATGGTGCCCTTAGTGCTGAAGAGCTTGTTGCTCTTTTTAACTCCACATGCACTAGCATTTTGGACGCCATCGCTCCCTTAAGCATCAAACGCCCTAAGGCAATTTCTGAACCATGGATAAATGACTCTATACGTGCTCTCAGACGCTCTTGTAGGCGTGCTGAGAGAAGGTGGAAGAAGGACAAGTTGCATGTCTCCGTTGGGATTCTACGGGAGTGCTTATTGGAGTATCAGAAAGCGGTGAAAGCTGCTAAAACCGCTTACATCTCGCACCTTGTCTCAAACAACATTGATAAACCAAAGGTTCTGTTTAATGTTTTATATTCTCTTGTTAACCCACGTGATACTGCTCCCATTGTTCCAACTCCTGCTCTCTGTAATGATTTCCTCAACTTTTTTGTCGAGAAAATCTCTGCTCTTCATTCTGTACCTTGTCTTGCTGAGCCTGATCCCTCTGACCCTCCCATGTGCCCAGCTGTTTTTGACCAGTTTGAGCCTATATCACTGTCCTCTCTGTCAGATATAGTTCGTGGGATGCGACCCACAAACTGCCTCTCAGACAGTATTCCCTCGCACCTTTTTAAAGAGGTTTTTGATTCAGTTGGATCTTTTATTCTTGTTCTGATTCATAACTGTTTTAGTTCAGGGTGTTTTCCTGCCCCTTTTAAACATGCTATAGTGCAGCCACTCATTAAAAAGCCCAGCCTGGACCCCTCTGTTCTCTCCAACTTCAGGCCCATCTCCAAATTACCCTTCCTGTCCAAAGTGTTAGAGAAAGTAATTGCTGTACAGTTGCAATTATTTTTAGTACAAAATGATATCTATGAGAAGTTTCAATCTGGTTTTAGGTCTGGTCACAGTACTGAAACTGCTCTTTTAAGAGTGTTTAATGATCTTGTCTTAACTGTGGACTCAGGATGTGCCGCTATCCTGGTGACCTTAGATTTGACGGCTGCCTTTGATACTGTTGATCATAGGACCCTCTTATCACGCCTAGATCACTGTGTAGGCATTAAAGGTGCTGCCCTCAAGTTGCTACAGTCGTACCTAACCGACAGGAGTTTCTCTGTCCATCTGGGTGAATTCTCCTCAAATGTGGCCCCTCTTACCTGTGGGGTCCCCCAAGGCTCCATTTTGGGCCCTTTATTGTTTTCTTTATATATGCTGCCCCTAGGTTCCATTCTCCGTAAGCATAATGTTTCTTTTCATTGCTTTGCAGATGATGTCCAAGTGTACCTTCCTTTAAAATTAAAATGTAAGGACTCTCTGCAGCCTCTGTTAGCTTGTCTTAATGACATAAAAACTTGGATGGGCCTAAATTTCCTGAATCTAAATGATAATAAGACTGAGGTTATTGTATTTGGATATCCGGAATGTGTAAATGACTCTGTTGGTGCTCTGGGCCCCTTGGCTTCCAAAAACTGTTCTTTTATTAAAAGCCTTGGTGTCACTTTTGATAGTGCTTTTAAGTTTGACAGGCAAATTGGTTCTGTGGTCAAAGGTGCTTTCTTTCAGCTTCGCCTGCTCGCCAAAGTAAAGCCCTATCTCTCACCCAAAGACTTGGAGAGAGTTATCCATGCCTTCATTACGTCTAGGCTTGATTACTGCAACTCTCTGTATGTGGGCTTAGATAAACGTTCTTTGCGGCGTCTGCAGCTAGTGCAAAATGCTGCTGCTCGCCTTTTGACCAGCACGAAAAAACGTGACCACATCACACCGGTTCTGGCCTCTTTGCATTGGCTTCCTGTCCGCTGCAGGATTGACTTTAAGATTTTGATGTTTGTTTTTAAGATATTGAATGGTCTGGCCCTCCAGTACTTAGTTGAACTCATCCATGTTCACACACCAGCTAGAGCACTGAGGTCATCAAATGAGTTGCTTCTAGATGTCCCGATATCTAGGCTCAAAACTAAAGGCGACCGAGCCTTCGCGGTGGCTGCCCCAAAATTGTGGAACAGCTTACCACTGTATATTATATCTGCCCAGACTCTTGAGATATTTAAGTTGTTGCTGAAGACCCATCTTTTCTCGTTAGCATTTGATGCATGTTGAGCCGAACTTTGCCGATGTATGGACTGTTTTTATTGAATTTTGTTCCTATTGTGCACTTTATTTTGTTTTCTATTGTTACTCTTAATATTTATATGTACTGTGTGCTCTA